CTCTCTCTCTCTCTCTCTATATATATATATATATATATATATATATATATATATTGTTGATGCTCGATATCAAATAGACTATTAATCCAGAAGAGGATTATTGCAGGGTGATGAAGGATGATGGAGGGCCCGTTCCCTTCTTCGACTTTATGCATGGTTCTTGAACTAGGATATCTGGATCCACTGCAAAGACTAGAAGAACAAATCCATAAGAGGGCGAGGACTAGTTCCCCCGTGATTCCTCCGACGATCAAGTCAGTTGATGAACGTGAGCTTGAGTGGAGTTTATAACTATGTGTTTTTATGCTATGTGCATTAAAGATGATCCTCTCTTAGATTGGGTTAGGGAAAAGATCTAGATTGCTCTGAGAGTTTTTGTTAGGATAGATTAGGTTACCTCTCCCCGCTCTTCTGATGGTGAATAGCCTCCATCTATAGAGCGGATGTCCATGGCAGGCTCTGGTTATTTCGGCCATGCAGAATGACGGTGACAAAGTGTGAGCTGGAAGGTGAGTCATCCCTTGCTCTACAGGTGTCGGCTGGCGACTGGAGGGGAAGTCATCTCAACATGGGAGATGGCGTCTCCATGATATTCGGGAAGTGACTTGTGAGCGTGGCAGAAGACACGTGGGCATTCTGAGTCGTCCCTCGCTTTACAGGTGTCGGCTGACAACTGGAGGGAAAGCCACTTCAGCTCTGGAGAGGATGTCTCCACTTTTTCCGGGAAGTGATTGAGCTGACAAGTCGTGGAGACTTATCAGCCTAAAATCTGGATAAAGGCTTTGTAGGTGTAAATTTTGATTTTCCAAAATGGAGGTATCATTTGTATTGATAAGAATAGCTTATTACAAACTAATGAATCGAAATTATAACAGAAGCGGAGGGTAGGCCCTCCTTGTTTAACGTAGGGACTTCGGTAGCGATAGGACGCCTCGCTCGGTTCTCGCACCGAGTCTGCTTCCCTTAGACGATTCGATCTAGGTTGCTGGTGAGCTTCAGTATGCAGTAGAAGCTCGTGCTGGTCGAGTTTGGGTTTCCGAGTTCGGTGGAGGTCAGGGCCCGAAGCTAGGAGAAGGTGCTACAGTACAAAGATCATGCAAAGAGCCTATCGTCAACTCAGTCGAGAGTTGAGAGCTAATGGTCCAGCTAACTGATTGGATTAATCAATTAACTGTGAACCTCCCTCCTGTAGCCAGGGGAGGCCCTTAAATAGAGGAGAGATAACGTGGTCGCTCCTTTGAATCAGGAGATGTGACCATGTACTGTTGGGAGATACCATGCTTCTTACTTGTACTATGAGCGGCCGCTTGATGGGCTTGGAGTACTGTACTTCTCTCCCTCACGTCGTAGGAAACGGGAAGGCCCATCCCTGTACGTGATGAAGCAGCCGCCAAGTACTCTGGCGAGTTTGGCGAGTTTGTTGATTGCGAGCGAATTTGGCTTTTGACTTGTGCATGCGAGTTCAGCTCTTGAGTAAACCTAACTCGTGTGGGCGAGTCAAGCATGCAGGCGAGTGTAGCGACACCGTGGATTCGAATGGTCACTCGTACTGTGGACGGCCGCTTGATGGGCTCGGAGTACTGTGCTCCTTCCCTTCATGTCATGGGAAATGGGAAGGCCCATCCCTGTACGTGATATTGCGACCACCAGGTACTCTAGCGAGTTTGACGAGTTCGTTTATCACGGGCGAAATTAGCTTTTACTCGTGCAGGCGAGTCGAGTAAGCAGGCGAATTTTAGTCAATTGGATAATCTTGACTCGTTCGGACGAGTCAAGCATGCAGGCGAGTTTGACGATTGTATGGATTTGACTGGTCATTCGTACTATACTTGATGGGCTCGGAGTACTGTGCTCCTTCCCTTCACGTCGTGGGAAATGGGAGGGCCCATCCACAGACGTGATATTGCGGCCGCCAAACTCGTGTAGGCGAGTCAAGTGTACAGGTAATTTTCTGATCGCCTGGTGGATCGCCAGCTGCGTGGGCGAATTTGGTGATTGTGTGGTCTTGGCTCGTGCTGGCGAGTGAAGCACACAGGCGAGCCTAGTTTTCACGTTACGCGAGCGACTCGAATACGTAGGCGGAATTAAGACTTATCTGCAAAGGTAATTTTTACCGCCTACAAGACCTCCATCAAAGTTTTCAGACCTAAACCAACTTGTGTGTGGTTTGGAATACTTTTAATAAAGAGGTTCCTGATGAGTTAAGGCGAATTTGACTTCCTTGGCTAGGTCAAGACCTTCGGGCGAACTGGAGCGGTGCGAGTGCACACAGGCTAGATTGTCGTTCAAGTTGGGTCACTTCGAACGAAATTCAAACTTATAAAGGGTGGTCGCATATCTGTGGGTGGGTCCCCACGCTTGCCCGCTAAGATGACGTTTTGCCTTCGCATTCCCGCTTCGAGGTGCGGATGTTAGACCCTAGAGGGGGGGGAGGTGATTAGGGTCTTATGTTAATCTAATCTGATTTTATGCTAATTAAAACTAATTAATAAATTATTCTTGCAAGATAGATATACAATATGTTACAAGCAAGAATAAGCAATATGAACAAATGAATATATCCTAGCAATGAGATATTATAAATATATGAGCAATGATATATAAACCAACACAAGGGTAAAATAAACAATCTACAAAAGAGATAGGGCAATATGAAGAGCAATACACAAAGGCAATATAAGATATGAATACAAGAAATAAGATGCCAATGCAATCACAAACAAAATGATATGATCACGGAGTTCGGTCGAACCACATGACCTACGTCTCCGCTCCTCACCTCGAGGAGATCTCTACTATCACAACCGGGTTTTCTACGTTTACCCGAACAACGTTTACACCACATAATACGGTTTTCTAGTTTACCGAAAACTCTACAACTAACACACTCTTGTAATCCCTGATACAGGTGTATCTTGACGTAACTAGCTCGTTAGGAATTCTATGTAGACTGAGGAGAGGATATAGATATTGTTTATAACTATATCTTCTTCTTCATTCACATGTATATCAAAAAATGATACGGGTGTATCTTCTCTTCGGAACTTAGCGATCCTCATGGGAGCTTGAGGATAGATGATTCTCATGATAACATGAGAATAGAGGTGTCAAACAGTACAAGGGAACGCAGGAGGAAGCATGGAACGAGAAGACGAGCAGAAGAATCGAAGTATCCAGTTTTTAGCCTGTGAGTCGACTCATAAAAGTCATGAGTCGACTTATCAGTTTGAGTCGACTCATGACTGTCATGAGTCGACTCATCACTGGTTTTTGAGTTTTGTCCAGTTTCGGACGAGTCGACTCATCTCAGTCATGAGTCGACCCATCGATAGTTTCCTGGTACGTTTGGGTTTCTGTTCACACGAATTCCTGTTGGTTTTGAGTCTGGTTATTTACCAAATTACCATCCACGTTTGTACACCTATATAAAGGATTCTTTTAGGGTTTCTAAACAATCAGATAGATTCAGAGAGGTAATTAAGAGAGATTCTAATCATTATATTAGGGTTTAGTGAGAATTGAGAGTTTGTTCTCGATTCTAGTGAGATTGTAAGAGAGAGATTGTAATCTTTTCATACTCATAATCTAGAGAAGGTATTTTCCTTCACTATGTACTGAATTGTGCTTGTGTTTCTGTCATCCTCTTCTCAACCCACCTTTGATAATTCCGCGATCAAAGGTGCTCGCACGGTAACTCGTATCAAGTTGGTATCAGAGCATCAGATCCGGTGAAGGGGCATCCTGTGTATGGTTCT